GTCATCTTGGTATTTAAGCCAATTCAACCCTAATTTCTACTGATTTGATTCCAACTGAAGTTCTCGGAAAGACCACTGAGTGACTGTTAGAAATCTCCGACTTTTGAGATCTTTGATCTAATGCTTGGAAATCTGACTGTGAAAAACCAACTACCACCAGATAGTTTCTACTGAGGTGGAAATTCGCGACGCATATTTTGACAACCGAGTTACTGGATATCATCATACAGAGTGGTTCTTTATCCATCATCAAATCGATTCCACACTTTCACTTCAAATATGCTAAATTATGAACACTTATGTCCTCCAAGCCTTTAATTCTAAAGAAATGGTCACTTGCTTGTCCGCTGATGCATGACTGTTTGAATAAAGGCATTTTACAATAGTCCATTGGCTTCTTGCATATGATTCGTTACCTGTCACTTTCAACAAAACAAAGTCTACTTGAGGAAGTCATTCCATTTACTTAATATTATACTCACAGTTGTGAATAGAATTTCGGCTGAACGTTAATTCTATGATACGAATAAAACTTACTCTACAAAAATAGCAGATCGTTATACAGAACCAAAATTTCAGGTACTGGGATATACTTAGCATACAGACATATAAACAATATTGCATTAGATACTTCACTATCGTGGATTTAAAACGATGCTTAACATCCGTGAGCAAACATCATATTAGATAATAATGATGAAATGGGAATACAGCAGATAATTCAACGATGGAGATGACATGAAAATTATTACTATTATCATGTACGCCTACCCACTGTCTATCTCGGTGCATTATGTCAGTAAAAGTAGGACTAGGTTTCAGGATAGTTACCAGACAAAGATGTGAGCACATTTCAACAACGCCATTAAAGATCGTCCGATTATTTATGCTGTCTGGCTGAGGACCCCATATAATATCGCTGTGAAGTGATTATTACTCATGAATTAGACAATTCATGTGTACTCGTTTTACTAATAAGAAGACTCGTTGAGTAGCTGAACCATATAAAATCCATTTTCTGTCGTTCACATATAAATCCAATATTAATGAATAGCACCAGTTGAAAAGCAATATCAATGGGGTGAGAATGATTACCACCTGTCGAAGATAAAAGGACCACCTGTACAAGCGGTAGTCTTATACAGTAATCAGACACTAGATGTGTTAAACACATCGGTTGTTGTTGTTGGGTGAGAGGTATTGGAAACCACTTTCTATGAGATGGAAAATATTCCACTCATGTGTAGTGACGATTGTCTCTTCTGACCAGGAGAAAGAGGCATACTGTTCTCAGATAAGAAACGGAAGTTTGTGTCACTACATAGTTGTGTTATGTAAGCTGAATGGGAAGTTGAAGGCGGATATTTTGAGTCGATTATATACACCGACGATTCGGCAGCTTTACTTCTGGTGCTGATGAACCAAATATCCAAAACAACAGTATTATTCCACTCTGAATATTATTTTTAGGAAACACATTCTAGGCCTTTCTTTTCATCGAACACTTTGCGAACCACTACTTAAAGGATGAGATATTTTTTGAATCTACTCAGATAATTTCAGTATGGATCTATTATAATTGAAGTTGAGATAGACACAGACTACTGACTCGTAGATGAATGCGTAGGATCACAGTTACTTAGTTATCTGGTCAACAACGACAATACAGACAGGTAAATTAGTTTGCAGACCGTATGGTAATAGAGTTGGAGACAGCCTTTTTAAACCCTACAGCTAATCAGCTTTTCATGTCAGCCCTAATAACTACCAAATTAATATGTTGATTATTGTATGTTCTTCAATTCCACCTAAAGCAACAAGTCAGCGTCTTAAAATTGAAACAAATCGAAACATACTTTTGTAATATCAGGATTAATGCTCTACAACGAAACCTCATCTGGTTTACCAGCCGCTAATAAGCACAAAAAATAGGAAAGAATCATTGCGGGATTCCATGTCCGAAAATCAATACTATCGCCACTTCAAGAATACACCTTTTCTTCGTTGAAATCGGAGAGACGGAATAACACGGGTTGGTGAGAGCCTTCTGGAAGCCAGCCAGTCAGCTGATGTCTTCTTTAGTTGAAAGCAATATAAGGAACGAGGATATGGGATGTCTTCACGATGTCCGAAACTGAGTCTACAGCTCGGATTGCCCAAGAAATGAAAAGATATGATATAGAAGTGCTAGGAGCCTGTGAGAGCAGATATAGAATGGAAATTGACTACTTAAATTATTACCCGAAGAGTCCATTGTCTTGTTCGGTCACCCAGACGACAACCACGAGCACACTGACAGTGTAGCTATCAAGACATCACCAACAGCGGTCAAAGCTCTTACGCAATGGGAACCAATCTCATCTCGGACAAAGACATTTAGATTCAATCCAAAAGATAGGAAAGTTACAATCTTCAGTGAGACACTCTCGCTATGCACACCAAAGGAAGAAGAAAGACTTCTACAGACAAACGTTTAGTTATGGATACGACCAAAGTCAGATAGCGACACCAAAAACCTAATGGGTGACATGAATAAAAGCCAATCTGGGAGCAGACAACACAGGTAGCGAATTCATCATGGGTCGGGAGGCTCTTGGCGAAATGAATTCGAATGGAGAAATGTTTTTAGACTTTGCACCTTTAACGATTTACTTATTGGAGGCAGTGTGTACAAGCACTAGGATATTCAAAAAGCGATATGGGTTTCACCAGACAGATATAGCAGAAATCAGATACAATTCATTTGAATCTGAAGTGCAGAGACAGCTGACTGGACACAAAATCACAAATAGGAGCAGGCCCGTACTCAGATCATTGTCCAGTCCGAGGAACTCTTAAATTCAAGTTGAAAGACTTTAAAAAAGCTGGAAGTGGATCATGATTGAAGTTCATTACCCGAAAATGGAAGGCCAAAACTACAAAATACACCTTTACTTCAGGCATCAAAACCAAATCACGGAAACCTGTGTGGAAGAACACTGGTACTCTCAGAAATCAATGCTAAAGGAATCCTCTGTAGCTGTCTTTTTGATCACAGAAAAGGCAAGACAATCAATGGCTCCCTTCAGGCACTTGGAAGCTCATTGAGGAGAGAGGGGTGAGAAAACGGAAGATCAATCAATGTAGAGATGGACAACGAAAGGAGAAGCTGACTTCAGTTTACTAAATAAAGTGCAGAAGAATACCAAGAAAGATGCAGAAAATTCTACGACACTTTGGGAGCTCGAACAGAACAGGCCACAGGTGATACAGCACAGAACATTATATCAGATAACCAGGTCTCTATCCGAGATGACATCAATGCAGCTGATGGCAATAAAAGATAATCGAGTGAACCTAATCACGAGAAAAGTAGAGCACAATCGGCTGGTCACTTGAACCAACCAACACCTACAACGCGTCCAGATATCCCACCAAGAGCCACATGACTGACAGTAGTTACCGATTCTCCGACAAAAGCAGGTCTTGAATGCTACAAAGCTACTGAAAACCGAGAAGGCGGCAAGATGAGACACAGCTCCTTCGGAAGAACTGAAAACGGATCCTTAGAACGCAGAGCATATACTTACAACACTATTGCAAGAGGTTTAGACGGAAGGAAAGGTATCTACTAGCTGTAAGAAAGACTCCCTCATCAAGCTGCCAGAGAAGGGAGAATTTCGTCCTGGCAAAACCGGCGCGAACTCATGCGCCCATTCACTAAAAGCAAAATATTATATCGCATCAACCTGGTGAGGCTAAAAAATGCTCCAAATGCAAAACTCCACCTGCAACAAACTAGAAAGGCAAATAATATGCTGATCAAATCACAGTGCTACACATTATCATCGAAGAGACCATAGAACGTATTCAAACCTTTATCTCACATTCAACAGCTTTGTAAAGACCTCCGTAAAACGATTGGGAAACTGCTAGAACATTACAGAGGATCCAGAACTTTTATCGGCCGTAGTCAGCTGCTTCATGTTATTGCCGCATATCACGTGATCCACGACGGAAAAATCAGCAATGCCTTTGAAGTGAGGACAAGAGACAGACAAGATAAAGTTACCTAGTATCACCCATATTACTAATCGTAACGGACGAGATCATGCCACACACCGCGGATGGAGACAATAATACGTAAGACCGACAAGATGACCCTGGAAAATTTGGACTTCGCTAACGACTTATGTTTAATGTCACACGAACTCGGGATTTAAGTGAACGCAGACATGATCAAAATACCTAACCACCACAAGCAACAACCAGCACCCATCACCATTAAGAGGAATAATGTGAAGGGATGATAGGTTTGAATTCGTAGAATCAGTAAGTCAACTGAATGCATCTGGGATCAACTATGGTTTCGTCGGACGTGGTTTCGATATTCGCTAACGTCCCCTTAACGCGAACTGTACGCTACCTAAGTGTGTTTATCGACTCAAATAATCTGAATGTTGGCATAGCCAATACACATATTAAAGGACAAGTCCTGAGATGGACACTGAATACTCACTTCTTATTCAATGGTTGAACATGTAATCAGAAAGATGGATTAGCAATGGGTTCTCCGCTTGGTCCATTGATTACCGATTGGTTCATGGAGTACCTTGAGTCAAATATCCCCTCCCTACCAACAATCAAATGGATCGAAGTTTACACGTGGTATATAGATGATATCTTCATTCTCACCGTTGAAAATACTAACATATAATAAAAAACCTACAATTCTTCATCAGTCAGTCGAATTCAAAATTAGAGCAGAATCAGAAGGTTAATCATCCTGCCTAGATGTTAAGCTTACGAGAAGAACAGATGGAAGCACAATCGTCGGACGAAGTAGAACAGTCAACAGGGGACTGCAGAGAACAGGACAACGTGAAGATCTGCTGATGAAGCCCTGCGGTTCACTCCGAATCTAAGAGAATAACCACACTGATAACACTCATAGACGTGATGAAATACAAGGAAAGTAAAATTAATTTCTATTTTAGATAAAAAAATAAATAAGTAATGAATAGCAATAAACACAATCGTGTACACAAAATAAATCTTCGTTTATCAATCGATAGATATCACAAGTGCATTATGTACACATTTATACAAGTCAAGGACGTTGTATATCAGATATTAAACAATAACATTAATCTGTAGAAAAGATGAGATTTTATTCATCAGAAGTCGAGCTAACTGATACAGTTGAAAGTGGGAACGCAGATAGTCCTAATACCGAAGCCGTCACTGGTCCGGGAGCTTTAGAATTCAGAGATTTCTCTTGCACCCAAGAAGGAAGAGATACAAGATCACTTAACGGTTGTTTCACACGGAAATTAGTCAAATTATGTGAACCATCTGGAAACCCCGTCAATGAACAACTGTTACTAGTTGACGGAATCGAGCACAAGAGACTTTCAATTTGTGAGGCGGAGTTCCTTTCTGAGATTTCAGAAGTATTCGTTCCAGAAACAGGTAAGTGGTTCAACTTCTTCAGCTTCCGTTTCAATTTCCCAACTCGCCGTCTATCAAGAGTCATTGTGCAACTGTTCACCTGATCAGAGTCGGAGTGCTCTTCCCCACTACTATATTGACAGACAATATTCTTAATCGGAGAGTTAGTAACAGTATTACTGGGTAAATAAATGCACACCTTCTTTATCGACTTTTCTTTCTCCCGGTTTATTGAGACAACAGTACTGACAGACGATAACTGGGATCTACTTTCTGATATCTCATCAGAATTGCTCTCAAGAGAATATGTCGACTCTTCATCATGATCATCTCGGTAACTTGAATCCTGCAAAGGTGAATCGCAATTGTTTGTGGAAGCACCTGGGCTTCCTGGAATCCCATCAGAATTAGGCGAAGGAACAGGGTTACCTGAAGTGACATCAATATCTTCCGTAGGTTCAGCTGTGTTAGGCTGTGAAGAAATATTCTCAACATTATTGATTGAAACATACGAAGGAGATGGTGTGTCCACATCAGCGTTTGATGGGACAGACTGCGCTTCAGATTCATTACATTCACTACGTGATGAGACCAGCATAAGACTGTCTGATAGTTTATTCGGTACGGATGAGAAGTTTTCCGAATGAGCACATTCCGTTGTTCCACTTAGACTTACCGAAGCACTCTGAACCAATGATTCACCTCGGGAATCAATTGACATTTGCAAAGCACTTCCACATGAATCACTTGCATTAGTAACGACCGTTAACGTATCACTGTTTTTTGACACCACAGAACTGCACACCCGAACCGGTTGAGGAGGACACTGGCTACCGTTAACTTCTTTCTCACAATCATATGAATTTCTAACAGATGCCTTTTCTTTGCACGCAACGTCAATTTCAGTAGGACTATTATTACAAGCGTTTCCTAATGATAAGGGATTTGAAAGGCTCTCAAGTGATGGCACATCATTCACAACAATCTCAGTAACTAACTTTAAAGAATTCAATTCTGAATTATCAGTAGTACTTTTACTCACCGAAACAGAAGATTCTGACGAATTTATCACCTCTGTGGTTCGAAGAGAATTAGAATCCAAAGATGAGGAGGTGTTAGGTGACATACTTGTAACATTCTTTGAACATGTTTGGTTAACAGCAATAAGTAATCTTGTCTGAGGAATAATATTAGGGGAACACGGGTTACTGGAGTGTGATACGGAAGAGTCCACTCCAGCACATCGATCACTGAGCAGTCTTGCATTACCATCATGGACATCATCACGTGAGATACGCCCTTCACTCTGACTACTACTGCTGCTACTGACTTCCGGAGTATGCACTGTGATTACCGCAGATTTCAACGTCTTCCTCAAAGAATCACGTGAAAATGTCACTTTCGAATAGACAAAATCTTCTACCGAATCACTGCTTGTCGAACAAACAGTTTTACTTAGATCACTGACTGAATTTTCTGGCACTGGGTGTTCGGGTGGAACAAAAGTTAAGTGTTGAGGTGGCCATGGCGATATCCCATTCACATTGACCTTATTTAACACAGGCTGGGATAAACTGTTTCTTGAACCATATGGAATATTTAAAATACGGCATGGCAACTTTAAATCGCTACACAGAAACCCACATTTCCAACAATCATAAAGTTGTGTTAGAAAACTAATCATAGTACTACTGATCTGCTTCAATTCTACCTGATGTTGACGTCGACTCCAAGCTTCAATTGCATCATATTGACTCTGCAAAGATGAGAAGAGATACTTCAAATCAATATCAGCACGTGGACTAACAGAGGGAAGCTGGTCTTTGTATGCTGGCACCCAAGTGTCCATTATGGAGGAATAAGTCTTTGATAACTCCTCTTTCAACGAAAACACACTGTCACGCAGACCACGAACATGTCCGAAAACATCGGTGGTGAGATACTCGAGTAAGAAGAAGGCAATATTCGTAAACAACTCAATATTCCGCTGCTCTCTTGATGGCGCATCCAAGTTAACAAGTCCTCGTGTATATACAATAGAATCGAATACACACTGTTTCGAAGGCAGTAAACTAGTATCCTTCTTATCACAACCGAAGAAAGGACAAAGCAAGAAACCACTTGATGTTATACTACACAACGTGTGATACATTTTCTCCAGGAAATTTAACACATTACGGAGCGGAACACAAACCTCTTCCGTTAATATACGAATAACGTTATCTCGTGCACATGATTCCGATTCAAAAAGACGAGCTCGTCCACGAGCCAGCCGCATAGAAGAACGTGATTGAACAGAATTACTGTCTGCATTTGCGAGTTCATGCCTCGCCTTCAAACAAGAACCAGCTGACATAAGTGATGCAAAAGAATCATGTAATCGGCACAAACAAACAGATATAACTTGATGTAGACATTCCATAGTACTGAACAGATTCAAGGAGACACTCTTGTCTATTTGAGCATTTGAATTACAACCTGAAGTCGTCTTAGCCTCACTCAGAACTTGTAGGCATGTATTATGAAAAGAGCTAATTAGAAATCCGAAAGACGCAATGTGGTGCGTAGATACGCCGGTCGTCCTTCTTAGAAAACTTGAAACTGACTGAGGAAGACACTTGCACAATTCCACGTGTAAATTTCTTTCACGCATATTATCATCCACCGGAGGATTAGGTGCAGTTAACTCAAAATCATCATCACGATCGTTTCCATCCGACAACACATATAATGATGCTGACGATGAAGAAGAAGCATTTGAAATCTGACGACATTTCGATGAAAGGTATTTTGATATATTTAAAAGATACTTTTTCGCATCAGGTTTGAATATTAAACGTGATAATGCCTGCAGAAATCTTTCAGAACAACAATTGTACCAGCATCGGTCACGTGGTAGACAGCTACAGGCAATTTCTAGTGTCCCCTTCAACAGACTGTCAGAAGACCACCGGACAACAAACAGTGGTGGTGACTCTGAATTTACCAATGGATACTGAGACAGATGAGCAGAGTCTCGTGATGATAAACCCCTCAATGTAAAAAGACGTATATCAGCTAGGGGGACTCGATGACAATATATCCAACAGTGTCTTAATACTTGCAAGGCAATATTCTGGTGTTTACGATTTGTAAGCAACAAATATAAAACTCTTATTACATCGCCAAGTAATAAGTGAGATTTCATTTCATGTCTAAAAGAGAAAATCAAAAACACTCAACAAATGAACTGTGCATGGGTGTGTGTGTGAGTGTGCATATATATGATGAATAAAGATAGAAATATCCACCCACTCAAATAACACTAAACACCGAATTCCAGTGGTACTTACCCTGATACTCTCCTCCAGATAACATGGCCACTTGTCACAAGTCATCTATGATCACAAACTTATTGACATCAAGTAGATTAAAGTGCACTGCTGCATACTTTATCTCACACTGTCAAACACCACGAATATCAACAAGTGTGAGAGGAGGTCAAGAGATTCGCCCACAGATTTCGTCAACAGCTAATTCTTCTAACCCAATGGACAACACATTTCGCGACTTCACTGCACATCCTTGAAATAGGAGTCAGTGATATCCAGTCGTCTAGCATTATCCAGGACTTCACACCCACTCACTTACTCAGTTCCTTGAAAAACAACACTGTCTACTCATAAACAACAAGTCCACACGAGCTCTCATACAACTGACTGCATCAGTTCCACTAGAGTCTATGCATCATTAGCCAGACATATTTTCTAGGAACCCTATACTGTCGCGTGTAATTACAGACTAGATCGACAATGTGCCAGTCAGAATTGCAATTGTAAACATATAGGTTGATTGCTGTTCACTAGTCAGTCGAATGTTTGCAGAATATATTTAGTTTTCATACGGTATTTACACTACCTCTTTTACCAGCACGTTTGACAAAACACCTCCTCCAAAATATCAGTCCACATCAAGGAAAATCTACTAGGAAATTTATTAAACGTTCATTACGCTTAACCGAATTCGTGTGTAGATTTTAGCGATGGAGAAAACTATGGATCCCACCATAAGGGGAATCACGTGCAAGGTCACCAGGAGAGATGATTAACATACTCGTGGAGAAGTCGAAAAGCTCCCTTCAAAATGAAGTATGCGCTAAAGAAGTAGGACAATGAAAGCTTTGCAAATAAACCATCCAGATCAGTAAATACAACTACATCAGAATAATCATTGGTCTCCGACACAGGAGTCAAACTACGTCTTTTACTCGCACGTTTGAGAATACTCTTTTCCCAATAATTAGTGTGTGAGTATTCTTCAAAATATCAGTTCACATCAGGGAAAATCTACTAGTAAATTTACCAAACGTTCATTATGCCTAACCGCATTGGTGTGTAGATTCAGCAAAACATGACATTTTACCGACGGAGAAAACTATCGGTTCTACCGTAAGTGGAATTATAAGTAGACAAACAGATGAAATTTATCGAAACTCTTATCATCACCACCACAGAAATTACTTCAACTTCACCACCACCCCCAGCACACCTGATCCCACCCCTGCACAATCTGGATGATGCAATCGTAAATAGCATTATGCAATTCAATTGTCCTCCACACGCAAATATAACTTCTGATACAAGCCAACGACTTTACGAAGACTGCACAGCACAACGCTTCAAAGGTATGTCTGTTACTAAATAAGCTGGGTGACATATAACATGATAAATATTGCAACCCCAAACCCCTTCAAAATCCATGTGAAAAGCACTTTGGTGACACAGTCAAGTCACACAGCCAACAGCTTGTAGACCATTCCTCATCGTTCAACATACGATATCAATGTCAGAGATAATGGTGACACACAAAGTCATGAGGGTTCAGTCAATACAGAGTGATGAAGATTTTGACTCAAGAAGTTAACAGAGGATGACCTTAAAGCCCTCATCTTTTATATGCAGCCTTCACTCTCACAACTCAAAAGATATTCCAACATCACTGCTTTAATCGGCTGCAACAAGTACCGAAATTAATCCTGAACGACACAGCAGATAAGTATGAGTGGTCTAGTTTGAATCAGAGATTTTCAAAATCACTGACATCCATGAGTTCAAGCAGGACAGAAAGTACTCCATTATAAACACACTGACTAGTCAATTATTGTAACAAACACTTTAGAGTCACATGAAAGTAAGAAGGAAACAACTACAAAATAAGTAATGACTCACTTCTCAGATTGCGATGCATACGTACAAACACAATACGGCATTCTTAAAAGTTTAGCCTCTTCATTTCCAACCAGATCAAGCGATGACATCGATTTAAGTCTGGTTAACTGTTCTTTCGTCATTGGTGGGCATTTCTATTACACCGAGAAGAGATGAAGAAAAACAGAGAGAATAACTCAATAATATTTGAATGATTTTCATGTAGACATTTAACTCTGCACTTAAAATGTTCTATGAAAGTGTAAAACTGACTAAAGAAGCCCATTAGGACTTTCAAAATACCGATTACTCAACACAGAATATTATCCTCGCTAACTTAATCATCAGGTTCTACAGTTACAATATCCAGAATAATGAAAAAATGATTGTTAATGACAAGACTAATGTAGGTAGTCTAGGTACTTCATCTTCCATTTGAGGAGTCACAAACGGTCATGTAGAAAATATGACTTGTAGTTTACCAGCATTTAAAGTTCATTGGACTTTTCTTACTTATTATTTCAGCCGTCTTAAGACCTTCTGGTAGTTCATCTACTGCGTATTGTCTGAGGGCGATATTCATTTCGTTCTCTTGTATGTACGTAGATAAAGAGTCAGTCTGGTTTGATGCATATCGTATCGGCGTCTTCTTATTAGGATGAAATCTGTTTAAACTTTACTTACTTTACTTTACTTCGGCTATCTCCTACGGGAGGATGAGCCGGCTTCATGAACGTCTCGAATCATCGCTGCCCAGGCGCGGCAATTTGTAAGAGAGTTCATGAAGTTTCATAGGAATTTGGTACGAGTGATGTCCCCAGCATCGTTCGGCCCTTTGTTTGAGAGTGCAGCTCTAGCCTTTACACAGCCAAGTGTGACCTACAAGGCAGTAGGAGTGGAGTAAGGAGTCCACTATCCATTGGCAGCCGGTGACCGGAGTTCGGTTCATACGCCTTTTGAATGGGGCCAGACATCCAGGACATCCAACAAGCCCTTTGTCCATACGTCTGCCGGTGAGCTCCAGTGAGCTTCATACGCCAGTCGTTGGAGGTTTGGAATCAGGGTTTAGCCATCTCCCCTAGACCGTCATCCAATGGACAGTCAACCCGGTGGAGAGCGCCGGGCATCCGCTTTCGCCCTCTCACTTTGGTGAGAAACACCTCCGCCACGTGAAGGCAGTGAGTAGGACTTCCTCAGGAGAGGCTATGTAAGACGCCCGGTCATATGGGAGCATTTCAAGAGGTGTGCGGAGGGGTGGCCAACCCGCAGCGCAAGGCACCCACCCCCGACCATCCTGAGGCTTTGGAGGCAATCTGTTTAAACGTAGAGATTTGTAATAAACTTTAGGATAGTGAAGGTTCTCAACGACGATCTGAGGTATAACGCTTGACTTCATCAACAACTGCATCGAATCAAATCACTATCCTTCAAATTCAGTCTAGTAGATTATTGTTATCAGTACGAAAACATCAAATTTACGTGTGAAGAGGAATCCCAGAGTAGAATCGCCTTCCTTGACGTCCTTTTTACAAGAAAACCAGATGGTAGTATAAAAAGAAATTTGCATAAGAAAAATACATGGACATGACGACATAAACATTTCTATAGCTTTGTTCCTCCCAAGTACAAGGGAAATTTAATAAGGACCCTCAGGTACAGGGTCACAGCTATATGTTCAGAAGACGTAAGTGAAGCTGAAATTAGCATTGCATCTGATACATTAACTGAAAACAGCTCATTCGATAAGTCCATCAAGAAACACCGGCAAAGTTAAAGTATATGTATAAAACTTGGGCATTGTGGTAGTGAGTAATTCCACATCAGCTTGTTTATTAGATAGATCACACAGTGAAACAGAATTTATTATTTCCTGGATGACACAGTTTCGAACAAAATTTATTGAGGTTCATAATCATATCAATTATAACCACACGACTTCAAAAATTGAGTTTTATAGTCTTCTTTGTTCTCTCCTATTTGTCATTGTTGGGGTAGTAGAATTTTCCAGATATCTGGGACAGGTGTTGAATCCCTCCTGTTACACGTGTTTGCAGTTGATTCGATCAACACAGCTTCCGTTGTTATCAATCTCTCCCTCCACCCTGTTACATTAGATTTAAAAACGGTCATCTTATCCCATCCAGCCTATAGTATGGTTGTGTGTAATTGCATGTAGTGCTATGGCTGAACTATTCTCTAGATTTCTTATCCTATTCGGGGCAACGAATCTGAATGACTTATATTCTCTCTTATTTATGTTATTATTACTAGTTTCACAATTATTTTTATTTTGTTTTTGGCTCTTAATGATCTTCCTAATGAATTTTATAGGATAGTTATGCAAAGTCATCTACAGTTTTACCATATAAAGAGGGTACGTAGGATTCTAAATAAAGCAGGAATTAGGGTGGCATTCAAACCTAAAAACTCACTCAGGGACAAGCACTGTAAGTTAAACGACACTGTCGGTTGACCCAATTAGACAAAATAATATAATTTACAAAATACCCTCCAATGACTGTGAGTTAAGTCAACTACATGGGTCAAACGTGTGGGTCAGGGGTAGTCAGATTATCAGAAGATAAGAATTTAGCTAAGGTAAGAATGGTTGACCCCGAGAAGATAAGTAATTTAGAAACAAGTTCAGCGATTGCAATGCATGCATTAACACACAACAACACAACATGGTGGGTGGGAGAGGGTTAAAATTCCGAAAAGTAATATAGGTAGGTGGAGAGAGAGAGGTTGATTACTGAATCCTTGTTCATCGAGTCCACAGCGAACACATGCAATAGGAATGACTCATCACTCATACCCGAAATATGGAAAATACTACTACCAAACAAATCAAGCGAAAAATAATGGAACTATATAAATGAAGTTAGGAAGTTGTGTGAGTAGTGCCTTCATATGATTATGAGTGGCAATAAATTGTGCTCGAAACGTGGTCATCAGTAAACACTACTGCATAACACTGTGAGACTTTATCAAAACAAAATTTACTTATACTGGAATAACAAACACTCTACCACAGCGCACAAGTTTTATTCTTATATAAATGTAAAAATAAAATAAATAATGACAGTAGTGATAGTGGTAATAATAATAATAATATTAATGACGACGTGCATGTCAAACATGTGCAGGCTAGTGACAACACCAACAATAGGAAATATAAATCATCAGCGGTACTTCCATACAAAGAAAGAACTTCGGAAATCACGTTTCGCAGAATTCTTAACAGTGCAGCAATATAAGTGGCTGGCATTCAAACCCATAAACTCAATCAGAAACAAGTTTTGTGGGTGGAAGGACCCTGTGGAACCTGTGAAAAAAATTTAGTTTATCTAATTCCCTGCAATATTTGTCAGGTTAGAGTAGTAAAACAGGTTCAGTCAGACTAGCGAAGCCTGACAACCTAACGGAATCTAGAATAGTTGACCCGAATAAGATAAGAAATCTAGAGAATAGTTCAGCCATAGCACTACATGCAATTACACACAACCATACTATAGGCTGGATGGGATAAGATGACCGTTTTTGAATCTAATGTAACAGGGTGGAGGGAGAGATTGATAACAACGGAAGCTTTGTTGATCGAATCAACTGCAAACACGTGTAACAGGAGGGATTCAACACCTGTCCCAGATATCTGGAAAATTCTACTACCCCAACAATGACAAATAGGAGAGAACAAAGAAGACTATAAAACTCAATTTTTGAAGTCGTGTGGTTATAATTGATATGATTATGAACCTCAATAAATTTTGTTCGAAACTGTGTCATCCAGGAAATAATAAATTCTGTTTCACTGTGTGATACATCTAATAAACAAACTAATATGGAATTACTTACCACCACAATGCCCAAGTTTTACACATACATTATTTAATATTCTCACATGAACATACATTAAAATGCGCACTCATTCACGATATAAGATAAAGTGTGATATAGAAATGTATTAATAGTCAATGGTATATAAGTTTCATTACAAACCAACTATTGAAAAGTTTAAGATTAATGTTCACAATCTGCGGTTAAGGTTACGTTTAGGGTTAAAGTTAGGAGCAGGTTGGAGAATAGTGTTAGAAATATCAATGGATTTCAAAGTATCATGACCTGCAGTCACCTGGATGAATGGATATATCGCGCACGATACGATTTCTCTATAGATGATCGTCTGTGTATTGACTGGGAGACATTCGCATAACACATGAGCTACAACTATACAGTGCTATATCGACTTTGCAATAATTTTTAGTGTATTTTCCAACGATTATGCTGCTATTTGCATCGGAATTCTGATTGGTTGTTCAAGGTCACTGGGTTTCGGCCACGATAATTCAACCTGCCGACACACATGACCAAGAAAGTAAGGAGAAAAGGACTATTCTCTATCCGTAAATGAGAAGCCTTTATGAAAACGACTGCAATTCAAGAGTGTCACGCATCTAGTGAAATAATTACTAATAAGTTAAGAAAATCCATTCATCAAAGAATTTTGATGCTGGTAAACTACAAGTCATACTTTCTGCACGACTGGTTGTGATTCCTCAATTGAAAGATGAAGTACCTTGACTAGCTACTAGCTAGGTACCTCTTCTTGTATCTACCAATTCAACTGCCGTGCTAGTGCAGCGAGTTATATTGGCCGTAGGATTAGGAACTTGATTTCTCATGCTCGCAAACACCTACCAGCGTGGCTGGATAAAAGTGTAGCGAAAACCATCAACAGTTCGATATTAGACCACCTGGTCCACACTGGCCACAACGCCGGCTAGCATTGAAGAATCTTTCTCTATCACCTATCAGGTACCAAATAAATCTCCGAAACCATCCACGTACCGAATACTCGAAATAACAGAGGCGACTGCAATACGCCTAAAACAACAGGTGCTCTGTCGGAAGAAGAAACAGGTCTAACCACTGCCACTGCCCTGATCTGCTGTGGACTCTGAGAATTCCCAAATATCTTATTGCATAGACCTGTTTTGATATAGCCCTCCATCCTGTACATTTAAATTCCCCTACCGCTCGTTATTGTACATGCATTAAATAACCTATTGATTTCTTATTTAAACGTAGTGGTTAACTAACACACTGGCACACACCAACACACACACAACGCACATAACCTTCTACCACAAATTTCTTATCTCACCCACACCTCCACCGTCCCCAACAATGATCATTCTCCCATCTCAAGTTTATAATTAATGTGAGTAGAATTTAATATGAACATGACTCATGACAACTCACTACTATACATATATGTGTATTTTCCTTGTCATTCATAATCATTTACTTCGTGATATTGGTGTTGCCTTCAGTCTTACAATTATACCCATTACCACATACACACATATTGCACTATGATCTTTCATGACAATCTATTTGCACATAACGTTTACGATTCTGAATTTAATGATTCCTTGTCACCCTTAAAAAAACACTCATTGCCAATAACAATCATTCTCTCATTATCTTGGGTATATAACCGTAGAACCTGATCATGAAGTTAGCGGAAAGTGTAAAATACCTCTTAGTTAACAGACTGAATACAAAGTCGTTGAGGAAGTCTGCATTCACGTTCTGTGGTTGGATGGGACTTAAGAATGTGGCGTGTCCTGCTGATGAGATTTACCAGTTGTATATTCGAGAGGCGTTCACCGACTTAAAAATATCGAATAGTGGAGAGAGAGAGAGAGTTGACATCAGTGTCGCGACAAAACATGCGAGACACGGAAAGAAGACAAAAAGCACAATACGAAGTGGGGCAGACGTATCACAACAAAGATCTGTGCGAATCACCGTTTGCAGATAAGATGTACATAATTTCACTATATAGACACACCAAATTCCTAATAAACATTCCCTTACCAAGTCTCTTGTCTTCGACAGTCAATATACATTGCATCATGAAACAGCGTCATTTCAGCGCATAACCTCTTAAACACAAAATATATACCGTTCACAGTAATATTACAAATGGAACTATACCTGCTTTGGACCTGTTCTCGGAATTCAGGGTCTCCCCTGTACCACCACACTAGCGGTGAGACTTTTCACATGTCCAAATAGAGAATTTTACGAAGTCACTTTCAGCGTATTCTCCATCAGTTGATTCGATAAATAAAACAAGCGATATCATTAAAAGCTCCTTCCTCTCTTCTAAACAGGCATTTATAGCCATCACTTTGTGATTCTGTATGATCACATAGTAATGCTGTAGCACAGCCAAACTCTAGATTTCTCACTTGGATAGGGTTCAGAAACAGCTGGGCTACGAAAAGTCCACACAGTAATGGCAACAAAAGGAATTTAAAACATCTATAATATTTCCATATGAGGTAGAGTACTTCAAAAGACTCGAGTATAATTTTCAACAGATTAGTAGAATAACATGTGATCATTGTCAGCTGGGATACGCATATATGTGATTCAAAATAGTAGATCAGAAGAAGTCAGATTGCTCGACAACAGAAACAAGCTCAGTCCTCATTTACGCTTAGCATACTGTATATCAAATCTTAAAAGAACTAATAAATATTTACTCACAGATGCAGTCGTAGGCTGTAACCTGGATGCTCTAGATGACGATAGTCTTCTTCGCTTTCCACAACTACTCTGGAGACGTCGAGAAGGCCTACCACGTTTATTTCTTCTCACTGCAGACGAACTTTCACGGCGTGCTTCAGCTGAAACAATTCAATCACAATTTACAAAGAATTAAGACTTTCATAATTATAAATAACTCAGCAGACAGCTCGATTTTTCACATGAAATTTACAATAAACTAGATTAGGTGAACACACTCGAAAGAGTATTTAAGCTCACTCTGATAAATCATTACAAAATACGATACTGTGAAGCCAGAAGAGACACACCAACAGTTACAGTAATGACACAGCATCTCAGAGTAAAATGTCATCATCACTATTGAACAGGGTTAGGATGTTTCTGCGTTAATACAGTGTAACGTAAAAAACCTCCTGGAAATTCTTAATTTTCAAATCCTCCTGTTCAAGAAGACACTAATCAAATTTTCGTACAGTCTTATATTTTTGGGTACAAAATCATCCAATTCGGAGGTGGATAGCAGCAAAAATCCAATAAAATCTTTACAGGTTAAGGTGAATCCACCACATTTGAACGCTCACAGAACATTATTGTCAGATCACAACAATAATCTCAAAGTTCCGTACACAAAAGAGTTTAGCAAGAGGAAAAGTTTGTCAAAGTAGGAGACAGATAACTACGAGAAATACCTGATTAAACATAAAGAATGAGAGTGACAAAACACTTGGGTCAATAAGGTTCTTCGAAGTGTATTCTGGTTACAGAGAGACACATCACATTAGAAGTGTTTATCCGAAACATTCTATGTACATACGGGAAGCACTGATGGAACTTTAGGCCGAGGATAACTGAGGTGGTTGAAATCTTTTGCTCATAACTATCTACCCATAAATGTTACCTGGAGTAGTGTTAGACTTCAGAGAATTTAAAGGTGGTTGAATTAGAAAATACAGAACACACCATGGAGTAGTCTCGAGATATAGGTTCAAACTATGTAGATAACTTCGCTTGAACAATCAACACGTTGGAAACTAGTGATGAGGGACTGTCTGGACAATGCATGGTATTTACTCGTTGTGATATTGAACAGTTTCAACATCTTATTAATCTACGCTAGATTATTTTCCAGTAATTTTGTCGTGACCAGTAGGGTTCAGCAGGTCGGGTGTGAGGTCAAATACTTGCTAAAGACATTCGCTGGGGTTGCCCAATGTCATGAATTGGTAGAAGTTAGAGTTCATGGCCCATTTCATCGAGTCCCAGTGGCTGAATGGTCGACGAGCTGGCTAGTCCTGCAACCGGAAGGTTCTGAGCCCAAACCCCACGTGTGGACGCGTACCGCTGAAGAGCTTCAAACTGGGGCGAAACAGCTGTCCAGTACTCCCAGGTTTTTCAGTGGTTCTCCAACCAATGTCAGCTCATGATGAAATTCTGTAACCAAACAAATCCCTACAAACCAACACTTATATTTTGCTTTGATAAATCACACAGTGTGTTATACAGTAATATTAACTGATGCGACCACGTTTCGAGCACAACCTATTGCCACTCATAATCATATCAAGACACTCACTCACACAACTGTGTTTCTTCACTTACATACATGTGTGGAATCGATTAGATAATGGATTAAAAAACCAATACGAGATAATGTACATTCAGAAATAATAATACGAGTTTCTCTTCAGGTTCTTACAGTTATAAAATATAATATTTGTGGTCGTTACAATGAAGGCCAGTTATGCGGCGGATACATTTTTAACATAGAATAACAGATTAGTTATGGGGTGTCAAAATAAGTAGTCATATTTGTGTGACAAACGTGCTAGGCTGAAATCGATTAGAAAATATTGTAAAACGGGGGACAATGGTGCGCACGATTAAGCAGGTTCGTCTACGGGTTCGAGAACACTTACCAGCTTGGTTCAGCAGGGAGGAAATTAAGTGCATAAAAAGCTAGATCCTGTCACACTTGGTCGATGCTGGACATCGCATCGATGTCAACACAGCTTACAGGGCTATATACCGAATCCCGAAGTCGTTATCACGTACAGTTCGCTTACGTCTCCTACACATAGCTGAAGCTGTTGCGATAAGACAGACTAAACCGGAACTTTGTATCCACAAAGAACACGTCCAGACGCTGTTCTTACCGTGGCCAACCTTGGATTGAAGATTTTTCTTCTCACCAGGAGTGCTCCTTCCCCTGAACCCTCTCGATTTTTTTTCTTTTTTTTACTTTGCTCATTATTATAAATATTATTATTACAGTTATTATTATTATTCGTCATAATTTATGCCCTTTATGCAAACATTCCCTCAATACTATCGAATTTTTCATTTATACGGACTTATTATTAGTGATATTATCTGTTTTCTTAATATGTGCCTCCAACTGTTCCATTTAACATATTCGTTATCTCATTATGAACCTCTCATTGCAGTCTTACTATCTCCTGTTTAACTCAGAGCACTTTGTACTAGCCACTCACCTGACCCCTTCAATAACCTTGAACTGACTTGTCAATTTTCCTACCCCACATTCTAAAAATCAATAATCATTAATCACCACCAGTGTCTACCGTTTTACAATATTTTCTAATCGATTTCAGGCTAGCACATTTGTCACACAATATGACTAACTAAATGTTATAAAAAAATATGAGTATTTATTTTGACACCCCATCACTAATCTGTTATTCTATGTTAAAAATGTATCCGCCGAATAACTGGCCTTTACTGTAAAGACCACAAATAATACGAGTGTTTTTACAGTCATAATAAGTTACTTGTTAAAATGTTGTGATGTATTTGAATTGAAATAGAATTTTAAGATTATTTATTATCCTCTTCTGATTCGGCTGACCGGCGGTAATAATATCTTCCATATTTCTGGCATTTGCACTGAGTCATTTCTGTTGCATGTGTTGTGTTGTGTTGGGTGTAGACTCGATGGACAAGGATTCCGTAATCAACCTCTCTCTCCACCTACCTATATTACTTTTCGGAATTTTAACCCTATCCCACCATGCTATTGTGTGGTTGTTTGTTATTGCGTAAAGTGCAATAGCTGAGCTGTTTTTCTAAATTACTTATCTTCTCGGGGTCAACCATTCTTACCTTAGCTAAATTCTTATCTTCTGATAATCTGACTACCCCTGACCCACACGTTTGACCCATGTAGTTGACTTAACTCACAGTCATTGGAGGGTATTTTGTAAATTATATTATTTTGTCTAATTGGGTCAACCGACAGTGTCGTTTAACTTACAGTGCTTGTCCCTGAGTGAGTTTTTAGGTTTGAATGCCACCCTAATTCCTGCTTTATTTAGAATCCTATGTAGGGTCTCCGATGTCCCCTCTTTATATGGTATAACTGTAGATGCCTTATATTCACTCTTATTTATGTTTTCATTAATAGTTTCACAATTATTTTTATTTCGCTTTTGGCCTTTACTGATCTTCTAATGAGTTTTATACGATAGTTATTTGTTAATAACGCTCATTCTATCTGTTTCACCTCACCATTTAGGTTTTTTTTTGTACAAATTAGTGCAGCTGCTCGGTTTTTTATGCACTTAAATAAGCTTGTCTTAACAGTTAACGGATGAGATGAATTAAAGTTTAGATATCTATTAGAATGAGTTGGGTTTTCATAAACACTAGTGTGCAGTTCACCTTCTTCTATTCGTTTTATCATACAATCTAACATAGCTAATTCTCCTTGTTCATTTTCTGCTTCAAATGTGAATTTTATTCCCCCCACTAGTGAGTTTATGTGTGTCAAGAAGCTAGAGATATGTTCTGTTTTTAACACTGTGAGTGAAAGTGTCGTCCACATATCTCCACCATATTTTTGGAGTAGGATTGAATGTATTAAGCGCGCTATTTTCCCAGCTGCCCATAAATATGTCTGCTACGATGGGGGATATTGGTGATCCATGCCATTGCTACACCTTCTGTTTGTCTATATATTTTGCCTTGGAATTTAAAGATAGTAAATGTGAGGCATAACTGAATCCCTAAAATAATTCCTTTAATGGGCAGCTTTATCCTATGATTGAGTTCAGGATCCGTAGTTAGTTCTTTTTTAACTGCTTCTAAGGCCATATTGACTGGTATATTTGTATAAAGACTAGTTATATCAAAACTAACCATTGTTTCATCAGTCTCTAGTTGAATGTCATTTAGTTTATTTTTCATTTCATATGAGTTAGTTAATCTAGAGTTTGAACGATTTCTAATGGGGCATAGTATTAGAGCTGAGTGTTTTGATAATTCATAAGTTGGGGTATTTCTAAAATCTACTATTGATCGTTTGGGGTAACCTGGCTTATGTATTTTAATAGTACCATATATTCTACTAGTATTATTAGTTTTAGGCATTAAATTAAACCATTTTGACTCACCCAGTGACGACTTCATTCTGCGCATTAGTTCCGCTGTAGATTTCTTGACCTTATTCATTATTGTGTCTACAGGCTTCTTAATTTCTTCATATGGACCCGTTTGAATACGTTCAATAACTTTTTTGATATAGTCAGATTTATTCAAAACTACAGTGACGTTTCCTTTGTAAGCTTTTGCGATGACAATATTTTTTTTATCCTGTTTAAGACTAATTAAAGCTTCTCTTTCCGATTTTGTTAAGTTTATTTTTGCCTTCTTTTGATTTTCAAGGGTTAATGCACATTGTGTTCGAACCTCTTCTGCTGTTGTCTTATCTATTGAAGCTAGCGATATTTCTATGTTAGGAATAACATCTTCTGGTTTTAATTTACTCACTGTTACACTGTAATTTAGTCCTTTCTCAAGTACTTTTGTCTCACTAGAGCTTAGTTCCCTTAGATCCCTCAAACTAGTAGGTCAGGGGTAGTCAGATTATCAGAAGATAAGAATTTAGCTAAGGTAAGAATGGTTGACCCCGAGAAGATAAGTAATTTAGAAAAACAGCTCAGCTATTGCACTTTACGCAATAACAAACAACCACACAATAGCATGGTGGGATAGGGTTAAATTCCGAAAAGTAATATAGGTAGGTGGAGAGAGAGGTTGATTACGGAATCCTTGTCCATCGAGTCTACACCCAACACAACACAACACATGCAACAGAAATGACTCAGTGCAAATGCCAGAAATATGGAAGATATTATTACCGCCGGTCAGTCGAATCAGAAGAGGATAATAAATAATCTTAAAATTCTATTTCAATTCAAATACATCACAACATTTTAACAAGTAACTTATTATGACTGTAAAAACACTCGTCTTATTTCCCATCTAATTGTAATTGGACAATAATACTCGTATTATTATTTCTGAGTGTACATAGTCTCATATGGGTTTTTTAATCCATTATCTAATCGAATCCACACATGTATGTAAGTGAAGAAACACAGTTGTGTGAGTGAGTGTCTTGATATGATTATGAGTGGCAATAGGTTGTGCTCGAAACGTGGTCGCATCAGTTAATATTACTGTATAACACATTGTGTGATTTATCAAAATAAAATCTTATCCATACTGGAGTTATTCTCTACCATAATGCCCAAGTTTTATACTTATAACAATAACTTAAATTTTTTCTTTTATTAGTGACTGATGCTGTTGTGAAGTGCAACACTGCACTTCTCTCCAAACTTTTCTGTTTATTTAGATAACAGAAACGCATTGATGCAATGTGATGTAGTAAAACATTTCCATCTGCTGATTAGTAATTAGTGATATGGTATAAACGAGGGTGTTTAGATTCCTTGTTTTCGAAACACTATCATATGGTAACACGTTCATAGCCTCTGTCTTAATCCACCTATATTCGCCACGTAGTATTCTAAAAAATAAAGAGCCAATAGGAATATTGACAGCTTATCACCGGACTGGTGTACTATGGGGTTCACCTAGAGTAGCTGGAAAACCCCGATTCTTCATTGGTTGTCTTCAAAAAGCTGGCCACAAGTGTGCTTTCGAACACAACTATTCTAAAACCACGTGTCGCATTCAAGCTCGCCAACCACAACATCCTCACACTGATGCAAACCAAACAGGTCTAGTCAGAACCCTGGAAAGCCTTGTTGCATCTCACTGACCCGAACACAACATCACAATGAGGAAAAGCTTCAAATATTTCCGTCATGTAAAACGTATGCTACTCAATGACATCGATATCCCGTCTAGTTGGTGTCGATGAGCATTAAAACCTACAACCGAAGTTGCATTACTCGACTTCAACCACATTAGTGGTCGTTGATATACTGATAGTCTAGAAGATTATACCGGAGTAACAAACAATCGACCAGAGAAGAGCTGTTTATTTGTCATTGCTGCCTATGCACTGATGGGTTCCAATCAAGGATAAAATTCTGAAGACAGATCTGAAGTGTGTATGTTTGTGACAGTGATGCGGCTCTGTTGCTTTTGAAAGACTTCCTGACCTGAAGTATGGAGACAGTATGGTATGTGCTCTAAGCCATTTAAGTATACATTATTGTTGCCAGATTAGCAAGAGCTTGTACCTCCACTCACTCTCACAAGTGGTGTGTTAGAGGTAGTCAACAAATTCGTCATCGCCTCCCTCGACGAGCAATGTTAGCGGATATAGTGTCAGGCTAGAAAAAAGCTAGCGGTGGTCAAACAAAAACTTGGCACCAGTCAATGAAATCCACAACAGTTGGTCTAAGCCACGTAGGAAGGTGTAGACTTCCAGACTGGGGTCCTCGGGACGGTAAAAACAAATGGTTGGAAACAATTGGTGACATGGCTCAAAATCGTTCTCAGTGACAGCGCAGATGCATCCACTCCTTGTGATTTATGATCTCCAATGAAACTGTTTTGTTCTTCGTTATTACTCCTTTGTCTCACACCTCTGCTTACTGTCTCTATTGTGCTTTTCTTGTACTTTCTTCTCTTGCTTCGCGTGCTACACGGAGTGTGGGGACTTGAACTTCCGCACATTTGTGCAATGTTCTATGTCGAAAACAGACAGACAGACAACAAATTCGTATATCTAGGTGAATGTGTGAGTCCTGGTAGAGTTGTCACAGATCAGGCCCATAACCAAACAGTGAAAGCGGCATATGACAAACCGTGCCAGTTCTGGCGCCGTCTCAACAATACTCTGACTTTGAAAGGTCAGCAGTACAATTCTTCGGTAAGTGTAAGTCTTGCCTAACGTCCGTGAAACATAACACCTTTGAGCTAGGCATATATGAAGACCATGTGTTAATGAACATCGCCACCTGAGTAGAAATCCCTGGATCCAGTGTTATCATCATGTGATTAATTCTAAGGTACAGCGACGTGTTTGTTCATAGTTGAGATAGTCTTTCAATAAGTGTTGTTATCTTAGCGCATCAGCTTCGATGGCTTGGACACGTGCTACACGAATGTCAACCTAGAGGATCCAATTCCCTTTTACTGTTTCCTAGTTATCACTATGACAGGGTGGAAAAAATGAAGGCCGACTCAGTTTACAATGTGATCCTATAAGATGAAAGATAGTTGCATTGCATTAGCAGCCCCTGGTGGATCACAACTACCTAGGCGGGATTCGAGAGGATTCCAGTCATCGACTCCACACCTTATCACTTAAATCCGATAATCTCACTGAATGACTGGTCTCAACGTAGGACTTTGCACAGATTTGCATCAGTTCGAGTTGTCACTCTTCCTCGATGCAGCACACAAAGCAAAAGAAGAGAGTAAGGAGAGATTCTAAAGAGAGATGATAAACAGAATTGTGAGGCAAAAAGTGTAGAAATATGGAAGAACAATAGAGTTTTACTGAATACGATAAGTGACAAAGAGTGAATGCATCTCCGCCAACTAATGAGAAGGCTTTTGAGCTGTATCACCGATTGTCTTCAGCCACTAGGTTTCACCATCCCGAGGACCCCAACCAGTCAGGAAGTCTACACCTCTCTAAGTGGCTTGAACTAACTGTTGTGGATTTTAGTGACTGATGAAGCCATGTTTTGGTTTGTTCATCACTAGCTCTTTTCCAACCTGATCCATCCTATGTCGGCTAACATCCCCCGTCGAAGAAGGCGATGGCTATGCATGCGCAACAAATTTTCTAACCATATCAACCAGTGTGACTTCACAACCTCGTCGATTGACTTCCACTCCTTCCCTAGTACTCGACGCCTAACCTAGATAATTACACACACTATTATGCCACCTAACACTGGAGAGAGAACAAAGGCCGAGAATCATAATCAAGCGGGAGCCTGCACCGACTTCTCCTCTCCTCTCTTCCCGAGACTAATCTGAAGAGATGAAGGTGCCATAAATGCGCTTGATAAGTATATTTACTTATTTTTTTGAGGTCAGCTCTTCATTAATCTTGTGTCCAATCGAATCCCTGCAACCCAACACTTCATAAAATAGCAGAAATAAATAAAAAAAATAATAAAATCGACATGCAATGGAAGTTGGATGGGAAAAAACAGTCTAGCTAGTTGAATATTGTGAACTACTCAACAGCTGTCTGTTTTCCACAACAACATTTTAATGACCAAACAACAAGCCTCACGTTTCATTCAAATTATCGTAACACTACCAGGATGAAAGCTCTATCACTGTTATCTTCAGCCTAGTGTAAGCAATTTACACACGTATAATAAAATCAAATCGGTTACACACAATTCGTAAAAATATTCAGTTACCTACAGGATTCGCATATCCCCTCGTCATCCTGAAAAGAAACAAGGTTCACAAGGTTAATCAAATGTCTTCTAGAAACAGAAATAAAACAAAACCTGATACCCACCTCCCCCAAATGGTGGAGACCTCCATACATATGTAAGTGCAAACTACCTGTAAATCTGAAATTGCCAACAGTTTCATTTTTATATACACAACCTCATTTACTACTTCATGGCAGACACAAAGGATAAGCCTTGACAGAGATTTTACTGAAAGTCAGTAATTTAGTTTCGATGGAGAACTTCATTCAAACAAATTTAACAAAATGGAAGAGTGAGTAGCATGAAATGCAGCCTATTCACCAGATTCACGCTTTTAACCAACGCTAAACCTATACTATCATATCACAAGCATCAATCAGCAGAATGTAAGCTATGACGAAGGCGAATAAAAAATACATACAACTTCTAACTTACAGACACGACTACCACCCGAAAAGGTGATACCTCCGTATTTCCAATGTGCGATAAGCAGTCTTCTGATTGTCTACACTCATTGTTACAATTTTCCGATGTAATCTTCTCTGATTTGTCTCCATTGTCTCGTTTATCGTGCTTACTTCACGCATTTGAGCTTTCGTACGAGGTTGACTTGTGCTATGCACCATTACAGTACTGGTTTTGGCAGGTAAACTGGAAGAATTAACATTGATGAAATGACTATCATCTATTTCCAAGTACCCACGGTCCCGTTGTTGAGTGTTGCAGAATGAACTTTTATACTGACCACACGAAATAGAAGACTTGTCTGTCGATATCACAGGCAACTTCGATGGTGAATACAATTTCGACATTTCCCAAGCCAACTGAAGAGGATATCGTAGTCTGTTACACTTCTGGTTGATATATTCACGTATCACAGGAGTTTCAATTTTCGAATCACCAACAAAACCAGGTGACAATCGAAGAGGAAGAGAAAACAAATTATTCACATCATTCCCAGATGATATAGATCCCGAAAAGACATTTTCTCTGCTTGATGAAGCAGTAAGCGGTGTTACCGAAGTAACGCTGGAACTAGCCACTTGAGCCGCGGAAGAACAAGGGTGGCTTGAAATCTTATCATGTACTGAACTGATTGAATCGGAAGACGTACTTGTGCCAGTCACAGTGGAAGTGAATAATGACTGCAAACCATCTGAATTGTTGGTCGACTGACAGCTGGAGACAGTGTCAACTAGGAAAGTGTTCTCACGAATGACTGACACTTGGTTTACAAAGTTGTTCACATGGCCACCGTCATGAGTAGCTGTAAAACTAGTTGTTCGAGTACTGTTGTGACACGAGTCGATATTATACTGTGCGTTGGCTTCCAATGAATCAAAAGGTTCCGGTTTGATCAAGAGTGGATGACTATTGTCATCTGAAGTCACCTGGCGACATGATGTAACTGGATCATCTGAAAGCGGCAAAACAATACAACTATGAGGACGTTTGCACGGATATCATGCAGTAGTGAGTGACTCACAACGAAAATATTTCAAGACCATATTAAGTTCACACCTCAACACGTGACTATGAACCATAAACTTTACACACAAAGTCGTCAATAGGCAACACCATCTGTCGTGTCTGTCTGTCATCGACATAGAACTTTGCACAAATGTGCGGCAGTTCAAGTCGCCACACGCAAGCACCTATGATCAAAGACATCTGTCGTGTAACTTAAAGCAGACATGATAATCTGTCGTACAATTAGCACACTGTCCATGTCCCATTCTTATGCGTAAAACGTGCACTTTTACTTTAAATGGCTATGCCTCACAGTCATTAAGAAGGATGCAGAGAACTGCTGCGAAGTACTGTATCCATGATGAGACTTCCTCAAGAAGTTAATCAGTCAATCACGGCTGATGCAACTTTACAAATAAGTGAAATAGTCAACACGATCAACCATTTCAAGTCTCTATCCTTAGACTAGAGGTTGGCACAGATAAGTTCTGTAGCAAGAGACTAAATTTGACAGGAGAAGAAAGTATGCCAAATGTACTGAAATTCCTGCTCCGGACATAATGGCTTCCATTGCAGATATGCACATATGGTTTATTCATTCATTCGAGGTGGAGGAATGACAAGTAAGAGCAACGAAACAATACTCAACCAACAAACACGAATATCAACCAATTCAAAAGGATGTCTACTGGCTCATTCACAGAGAGCTGCTACATACTTCATCTGAAATAGTCAATGACATCGACAATAAGCATAAACCAAAGGTCTACAGACTTGTCCACAGAATTCACCGAAACCTAACGAGCAACACGTTTTGCCACTTCACTCCACATCCTTGAAACAGGAGTCGTGAAATCCAGTCCTCCAACATCACTTTATATTTCACAAGATAGAAGCACACACCAAACTCACTCACACACTCGTTCAGTGGCGTGGAGGACAATACCTTCTCCAAGCCTTTCCAGCCAAACCAACAATCTAATGAAAGTCCACTAAATAGAAACCATCTCCTACCAAGTCAATCCCTCACATCAAACATTAACAGCGACAGTGAGTACTTTAGACAACAAGTTTACACAACCTCTAATACAACTGGCTGCACCAGTTCCACTAGAGTCTATACATCACTACCCAAACAAACATTCTCAGAACCAATTTTATTGTTACTTAGTCACAATACTTATCGATTGGACAAGTCAAATGTTTAAAACAGGTGGGGAAATCCGACAAAATCACATGTAGTTCAGTATTTCTGTATTTATGAAACTACCAAAGGATTACGCCTTCAAAACAACCTAGTTTCGGCTTTTAGTCTATTGCATGTTCCAAAATCTGTGACTGCTGAACAGCTTTTAATCTTTCAACCACTGCTGATTCCAACACCTTACAAATTACACAACTATTTGTAGTTGAATCCAATTGCATTAACACTTCACGCAGAGGTTAGTAAGTGTAAGCACAACCTACATCCTACCCACCTCGGACATAATTTTCTCCACTGGATTATTCCTTTTACCTACTCTCCATTCATCTCCTATAAGTCGACCATCCTGTGGTTTCAATAGACAGTAAACGCCAAACACCTGAAGGCCTAGTAAGTGTCAACACATCCCCCAAGGTTGTTAATATTTAACCAAAATGTCAAGAAGACTGCAGTTGTCCACATCTCTATCAAACAGAACTGTGTCATCTGGGTGACTGAGGAATCACTTGGGCATGACTACAAACACATTTCGGAAAAGCAGAAACCAGTGTAGACAAAAAATTATGAACAAAGAGTTACGGCAACGACAAAAACTGCATTCTCACAACCTCAAGGTATACACACTTTGCAGTCATCGTGAACAATATTAACCCACACCACAGAATCTCTAGAGTCTGACTCGTAGCAACTTCAACGTCCAAGCCAGGTAGTCCACACATCCTTCTACACTCAAACTAACAGTGAATGACTGGATGCTTGCACTGGTGCAATATATCGGCTTCACCATACACACAACTCTGCAGCAAACTACTCTTCTTCCGTACACATCGCTCATCGAGGAATGCAGTTGCTCAGTGGATGTAACACAAGTGCAGAAGGACATTACAAGTAGTTGACGTGCCTCCCTCAACTTACTTGACTCATCAAATGGCTAAAGGTCTTCTTCAACGACGCACATGTATTCACTCTTTATAAACTACTAGAACCATCAAACTCATTAAACTTTACATGCTCATTCAGTCTCCCGTACATTTATCTCCATTATACTTTCTCTAAATCTTCACTTTCAATGAGCTATAAAATGAGGCAACTTCAACTTCACAAATCTCTCTACAAAATTGTGGGTGGAAAGCTCAATCAGTCAGCCAAGTCTCGTTGTTACTTAGTATATCGCTGCCTCTCATGTGGACATTTATAGAAACACATACAAGCACAAACACTACTCCTTTAGCCTCACAGCCAACATATGCACACTTAACACTGGTTTTATGAGTAGCCGGATATCACACGTGCATGTGTTGGAGATAAGACAACTTCATTAATACCCATCTGTCTGTACACATCCGTCATGTGGAGATTGGTTACTCCACACCTTACACCTCCATTTAACTCAAACTATGAAGTGTTATAACGGCGGCAATACAATTAATTCAGAAGAATTTGAAGAGTCATGGACCTTATAGATCTATACTTATGTCATATCGATGACTAGACTGAATATAAGGACTACTGTTTCACATTTTACCTGCAGTTAAAATACCAGTTAATAAATGTCAGATTATTATTCAGCCTTATTTAAATCTACCTATTATACACGGAATTTGACTTATTAGGGAAATCGTAAGCACTCAAAACTTAACAAGGCTCAAGCAGAAGTGAATGAAGAAATTCCTAACATAGATTATCACTATACCTTTGGCAACGACACTTTTCGGCAACGAAGGGGAGCTGATAACAACCCCTAAACTGGCAATGGGAACTCATCTAGAAAGAACAGAAACACGAGGCTGAAAAGCACTGATACACGGTTCGCTTTGTTTAACCCATTTCAAAAATGAAACCGAGTGTTTAACACATCATAGTGCTTCACAAGTCTCACTACAAATACGAGAATCCAAAAGCATATCATAGCTATGATTCTTCTCTCGCCTATTTCCTCGTCAATATGCACTAACAAAAGCTGAACAAATATACTTATCCAAAGCACTTAAACTTTTCGTAGTTTTCAACAACTTGACTGTAGATTTCTCACTTTCACAAAAATGTAACCAGCAGCTATAGATCCACTACCAAGAATGAACGGCAACAACCAATCAGATCGTTCACCTTCCAAAATCCACTCAGCTATAAATACTGGCTTAGCATGTCAACTAACAACTAGGAGAAACTAGGACACATTCTTGCTCCAATCGCCATTTGGTCATGGTGCATAGTCCTTACGGTTACCCCTTGACCATCAGATACATCATCACATAGACAAAAGTGATGTTCATCTTGTAGTAATACTTATACCGTATGGCTGGAGTATATTGACAACAGGGTTTCGAGAATACGTCTACCCATCACCTGACGACAAAGCAGTATTATTAAACACAAGCATATGGTTACTTAAGCACACTTAGAAGTACTTATAACAGATCACATATAAGAACTCGAGTGCTCCCAGTTAGGATGTCATATTACGCACGACAATACACCAACAAAGAAATTCAAAAGTCCGGTAATCTGTGAACAACACGAATACATCTAAACTGATTCAAACTAAACATGGAAGCAATTGTGTCCAGATAAAGAATGTTGACATTTCCATCATGTGTAAATCAGAAGACGAAAATTGCGCCTCAAGTGGGAAACTAACTTATAACACAACTACATTGTTACATTTACGACGGTTATGGTTGAAACAGAAATACATTTATCAAGAATCACATTGAAATTAGTGCTAGTTGAATACAAAATCTGCAATACACTCAGATACTCAACACTAACCTTTCTCAACTTTCACAAATGTCAGTAGAGCATCAAAAACATTACGTGCACGACCACTCCCAGATGCAGACATCTTTAAATTGAATTTGAGTCACACACCCACAATTTCAAGATCATATGAAGAGATTATTCTGAACTATGATATTTAAAAAAAAAACTATTCCGAGGAATTTAAGGCTGTGTTAGCATTTGTTTGTCTGATCCGGCACAGCAATAATGAGGGCGGATATATTAAGTCATTGCGTTGCTTTTATTCACTCACACCTGGGGCCATAATTACTACTACGTCATTACAGTTGATGTCTGTCACAGCAATATGTTCCAGAAATTAAGTTGGTGCTGAAACAATGTCCGATACTAGCTTTCCAACAACTAGGTGTATAATTCCATTTTCTCGATAGGAGAACCTTGTTATCTACTGGATTGTAACTGCCGCTCATGAAATAATGTTCATAAACCGGAAATTTTTGTAAATCAAATACGTAACTTCATTGTATGTTACTGTTTTCAATGCTGTTTGCTCGTAATATTCAATGAACGCATCACCAGAATTAACGTGTTTCAGGTTTTCATAATACGAGTTAGCAGTGTTATTCTTATCTCTTTAAAGGTCCTGGAGGTAGTTAAAAGATCCTTATTCCATCGTGATAATAATTGTTCCAGGATGACTCCCACGTTACCGCATGTTATCTTAGAAGTGTTATAGGCTACGCTGCTTTCCGAGACCTTTTTTGCTCACTAAATGAACTTTCGATTAATAAATCTAGTCACAGTACAAACAGTGGTGTTCTTTATTTCACTAAACATTCGTCCTCTAACATTTAAGACCAAATTATACAGACACTTCACTGCGAATTTTTTGTTGAATTCAATGTCTCGGTGTTCTTATAAAAACTTGTATATTGTGATGGCGTATGCAGTTGATAGTGACAATAATGATTATCAAATGACACACAAAACACTAGTTTCTTTTAGATCTGAGTTTATGGGCACCTGTGAATTGTGATAGCCTGCACATCTGAATGCACTACAAACTTCTACATTGGAACCATGTGCCATTGAAATTAATTTTATGCGAATTACTTGACTGCTAGTGGATTAGCTCATGCGCATGGCCAGTAGTTTTCTTTGTTATTTAAACGTCTAATTAGGATTCGTGGGAAGTAGTTATTTGCTTCCATTTGTACAACACAAGTTATGCGTGTCCCACATGCACATATAAACTGAAGCTAGTGAATTCAAATTTCTGAAAACGAGGTAAATTATGGTATTAAAAGCCTCTTGGAAAGAGCAACACCACGTAGAGGAACCATGGAATCGTGACGTATTCTATTCTAGAAAGTTCAAATGATTGATACTTCGGGGGGATGACGTGTTGATTCTTATAAGCGTAGAAGTCATCGAAGTTAGTTATATAAAATTTCATTCAATACAGAAAACTCTGTATGTCTCATTTGGTTAATCGGAAAACACACTTCCTTATAGTTTTTTGAAATTATATTATCACTGGATCTGAATTATATCGACCTAGTTGTGTGGTGATAAAGACGTCCATATCTCGACGAAACAGTGATCTCCATTACTTCACTAGTCAGACGATTGGTTATATTTAGTATATAATGACATTCAAGAAATTTCTTCTCAATGCAGTAATATATATGATTACTATGAATCTGTTATCCGCAATTTTATTGGCAGAAAAGTCAAGATCAATCTGAGTAGTTTTTCCTGAGTTTTAGGTACCCCATCAATTCTAAACTTCTGGATGTCTAACAGTAACAACTAGGTGGCGACTCACACGACGAATGGCGTAACCCCTAAGAACTATCAAACACCATTATAGCAATGATGACATTCAATTATGTTCATACTCTTTAACTTATAGAAGTGTCATTGAAGAATTGTGAAGCTGCAAGGCTTGGCACAAATTAAATGCTTTAGTGAAGCTCGGTTTATGAGTAAACAGGATTTCGCACCGAATTTAGTCAACACATGTTTCCGAGTATCGATGCATAAGGGAATGAAATTATAGTCATAGTAAATATCAGAAAGTCACTTCATCCAGTCGAATATATTTCTTAGTGTTAGAAACCTGATCTCGGAATATTTAGTAAGTTTCCTTATTGATATAACACTTCGTGAGTGTTTGAGTCACTCCCTGACTTGGTTTACCTTCTCCTGTTGATGATTATCGCAATTTACCTCCTATTCAAGCAGTATTGAGGCGGTAAATCAGCCATTATTTCCACCACTCACATTAATCCCGCTCTTTTACTTATAGTCTATAAACAATTTGAATGAATACTGCATGGGAGTTAGTCAGTAGGAATGTTTTCTTATTTGTGATTTTGTTACGTAGACTTCCTTGGACCCTGATCAACCTCCTGCCACGATCTACGAGACTTTGAATTTAGTTAGTTCCAGAATTATTGACCACGCTCATCCGAATAAACTAGAAAATACCTGGGACATTGGTATCAATTTATTTTGATGTTATCATACAACATGGTGATGTGAGGTCAGAGTACCAAAGAGAAATATAATTGATATAAATATAAAACTGGGGCACTGTGGTAGAGTATAACTCCATTATGGATAAGATTTCATTTTGATCAATTACAATCAGTTGGGAAATAAAACACTCATCTTATTTCCCATCTGATTGCAATTGATCAACAACACTCATTATTATTTCTGAATGTACATTATCCCCCATTGATCTTTATTCAAATAACTAGTCAATTCCACACATGTATATAAATGAAAGGAAAAAGTTGTGTGAGTAACGTGATATGATTATGAGTGGCAATAGTTTGTGCTCGAAACGTGGTCATCAGTTAATATTACTGTATAACACACTGTGTGATTAATCAAAATAAAATCTTATCCATAATGGAGAAATACAACCACGTAAAGAGATGCCAATCACCACATCTTGATTCTTGAGATACATTAAACCTTTATTTCTTTTATTATAGCTTGATTCCACACAGTACTTTTTGGTAGAAGTAAGGCATTTTAAACATGTGATATCAGTAGCTAAATTTTTCAGGCCGACCATTGTATTAGGTGTGTGTAGGCAGGAGATCGAACCCCGGACCGTGTGCATGGTCGGCGAGAGTCTTAACCGCTGTGCTATCAACGCTATCGAAGCAATGCGTATCCCGGATATGTGGGAAACTGAATTACATAGTTACGGTTATTAGCGACAAACTGTGCTGGAAACATCATCCACGTATTAGCACAGTGTTGTATCAAATGAACTTGTCCAAAGTGGAATTATCCTCTCTTTCAGTGCTCGAGTTTTAATCTTATATTGAATTCAATGTAGCTGACACGTTGATCACATCATTTAAGAAATATATTCAAGAATACGTGTACGACTAGAAGCTTTCAGCGTATCCACTGTTTCTTCCAGGACCTAAGTACTAATGTAGTAAAATGGACTTTTCTTTAAAACAAGTCCAACTCTCTGAATAAGTGGACGAGTTAAAGACACTATGCCGCGCTGCTCTCTCATTTAAACTGATTTCCTACCTAATTTTCAACAGATGGGGACTGCTAAGCTCTCCAAGGAGAAGTTCTTCAGGATTACAACCTAATAGGACGGAAACTCACCGCTTATCAATATAACCCTATCCTATTAAAGGGTTGAGGTTGCTTAATGCCATCTCAAGAAACCTGTATAACCTTCGATTAGTGGCCATCTACGAACATCTCCAAATCAACAATAATTTGGTACGCACCTATATGTACCCCAACACACTAGCTATTCAAGGAAAAACTTCTAAAGTTTCTTAAACTTATACTGTCTCCTTCTGGTTTACGCCTGTTTCCATAATAAAACCAGCCTGACCAATATCCCATTCAAACTGGCACTTGACTGTATGCTAATTTTTTATCGCTTCACGTTCCCAGTGGAACACAGGGCTTCAAGCTGGGGGCTTGAAGTATCTGCAGCAGTATTTATTTTTACAGGATGACGTTGCTAGCCTTACCTCTTCGCCAGTTCTATTATTGGCTTAAAGTGGTAAAGTAGTGCGTCCGTCGGGGACCGTACCCCGGGACCATGTGCATAGTCGGCGAGCGTCCTAACAGCAGTGCCACCGACACACGACTGTCTGCTAAACAAAGCACTATTTTAAACAGACTCATGTGCATTCCTTTCCAGTCCCTCACACACTGGCGATTTCTAGTAATCATTTCACTATATTCATTCCTAGTTCGGCTTCTTCGAGTATGAATAATCTCTCCCTATTACGTAACGGTCACGTACTTCACCTACAAGTTGCTATCCATTTTAACTGTTCACCACTAATTATAACCTGCTCAAAAATTTCACAGAATATCAGGTCACGGTAAAAACTTCGACAAAACTGACGACGTCACAATTTATTCTGTACGATTTCTTAATTAAAAATAATCAGGCCTCCAGTAGACCACCCTACTGTGATTGCTTGTCATTCATCTTATCAGTGATTACGTCCATATATTCTGTTTTCGTGATTGGTTGTGTAAGCTGCTTGCCCACCTCAACACTAAATTCACGTGCATATGATATCTGTCACAATCTGCTCAGATCGCCTACTATCAACTGCCAACATCTCCTCGGAAGCAAACAGAAACCTACATAATTTTCAATCAACACTTACTCATTAAGATTTCGCAACGCTGAAATTTAACTCACTTCTTCCTGATTCCTATACCATCACATCGTCTCTCGTATCCTAATTTTGACTATAATAAGTGAATACTTATGCTACTCTCTATGACAACATTACAGGTTGTAAGTTAGCTATGGATACATTCAACCTATTTCTCCAAAACTACTGCTGATAACATTCTCAACCATTGAGCGAAGAGTGAAACTATGAATGTAGTTAAGTGGTTAGTAACTGTCAATATTATTTTAGGTTACTTTGCATTTCGCCTTGATCGATTATATTGGATGAGGGCCACACGTTGTTTGGCTTAAACTTAGTTTACCAGGCAACGTAAGAGAACATTCACGTGATGGGTCGACTTCTTTGCCATTATTTCAGTTTGTTAGATTGCCATCAGCAGTAAAGGA